TTATTAAATAATTATGGAATTCTAAATTTACAATTTTCTTTGTAAATTAAGTTCAAAGAAGACTTAGTTTTCAATTTAAATATATAACATATGTTTCATAAGCCACCTATCAGTTAATATCGTTATGATTATGGCCTCAAATTATTATAGTAAATAAATATTTTCAAATCGGAATACTAATCAGTAAATCAAGTATAATTCGTAAAAAAATTAAAAACATTTTTCCCTCTATTTAAAAATCAAAAATATAATTTTGAATAAATAATGTCGCTTCTAAAATTTTAAAAATACACTTTTTACTGATCGGATTTAAATATTTAATTAAACGATTTTCAAATTGAGTTAAAATGGCCAGTTGGAACCGTTTAACCTTTAATATTTTTAAATATTATTTATTAATGAATAGTTAATAAAAAAGTATATGGTTGGGACTACCATAGTATTCCATACTTATGAAAAATACACCATAATCAAATCTGCCATCATGAAGAATATCAATGGACAATCAGTGGCAGATTTTTAATTTTTTCTGGGGGGGGTTCCTTTTACATTATCTTATAATATATGAAGACAAAAAATGTTTAACCCATTAATAATTTATTACTTAAAGTTTTAAAATATAATTCTTACACTAACAGAAACAACATAGCATAGCATTTTAATTACAAGACAAAATATATAAAATATAATATAATATCACAATCCAAACGCGTGACCTGGTATGGGGGTTTAGACCCCCTGGACTCACCCTCGTAAGCCAACACTGTGGATAATGGTATAGAAATCCCCATAGTTGATTTGGAAAAAGTCTAAGTAATATCAATATTAAAATTATAACTTTTCTATAATAATAAAAATAATGATAATAATAAGAAAAAAAAAACAAATTAATTTGAATAACGATAAAATACCATTGTATTTCAGAAATTAAATAATATACAAGAATCAAGTTCGGTTTGCTCTGAAGATAGTAGTTTCGAGTATTTCAGAAAGAGTATGTTTTAATAAAATATATTGATGTTTCTTAATTAAGAACTATGTTTTGTTTTCAAAAAGTGTTGATTCAATTTATGTTAAATATTTTTTAATTTTAATAAAAATTCTAAATAAATTATATTGATCTATGTGAAACTATTTGTAATCATCACTGTGGATTATATCCCTATTTAATATTATGGTTTTATTTTACTTTGGTATTTTAATGTATTCTAATTCCTATAGTATTTATTTATTTTTAAATTAACTAGGTGATAAATAATGTGTATAATTGTATATAATTTATAGTATTTTCTTAACAACGTATTTAAATTAGCTATTGATGTCACTTCGTAGAATCAATAAAACAAAACATACTCTTATGGAAATTTTGATGATCTTGAAAATTAATTATTCTATTCGTAAGTCATAACTAGGTTTAGGGACATTAAGTTCTAAAAAATATGAAAAAATACTTTAAAAAGAATCAAATATACTCTAGACTAAAAAATTACTAAAAAATTGACAAATACCTTATTTATTATTATTATTAACGGTATACCTATTCATAAAAAAATTACAAAACAGAACAATGAGTTCACAATAAATTTTAATTGTTTAAATATTTCACTAATTTTATACTTTGAAAATTGCACTGTACTATTTACACATTTTCTTATGTTTTCAAACGTAAATCTATGATAGTTATTTGAAAGCAAAATTTCATAATTTGAAAAAAATTCATTCCACAGTAATGGAGGAAAATGAAGTATACTTAAAAAATACTAGATCATCATTTGTCAGATCTTCAAGTAATCAAAAAAATTAATTCTTGACATACAATAAGATAAATTAGTATTATGATATAATATAACCTTTTATAACAATTAAAAGCTACATAGGTACTTCTAAAATATGCTGTTAAAGTAAGAAACTGTAAAGTATGCAAATACATATATGCAAAATAAAAAAATTTAAAGATTTAAATTCCTTACATAATGAACAGTACTGATTCTGCTATTTTATTAATCTTCCGAAAAAAATTTATAAATTCTTGGAGTCCCTAAGCCTATTTATAATTTATTATAATTAATGTTTTGTTATATAATGAATCAAATAATTAGTTACTTTGAATATTTATAAATTAAGCAACACATTATAATAAAATTAAAATATTACAATTTGGCACTTATAAGTGAATACAGGTCTGACAGATAATTACAAATCGGAATTATAATATGTTGTGATCATTCGCAGTCACAACAACCTTAGTAAAGCTAATACGATAATATACGCATAACAGTATTTATTGCGGTGAAATACATAAGCGCCAAAATCGTATAGTACGAAAGCGCCAAAATCGTAGGTACCTGTGACCCTCAGTTAAATAACAGATATTAATTTGGACTGAAATTCCGAATAATGAGGTTATACGAATTACAAATGCAGCTGAATCATATCATTGACAATTAAAAGATCAATTTTATGTGGTTCATTGTTCCGTTCATATAGTAATTGATGTATTATTAAAATTACAAAGCGAAACATATTTATTTATGAACTCTCCTCGTAACAATAAATTAAAGATATCTCACGAAGAAATAATTGTTCAATGGAAGAAATACCAGGATGGTGAAATAAATCGTACAAAATACACGAAAAGAGTGGGATTAAAAAATTAACCAATTTATACATTATAATATTATAATTTATTATCGACATTTTTTTTTTATAAAATAGAAACCGATTTATTAATTTATTACGAGTATATTTATATTAATTTGCATGTATATTATTATTTACTATCGACATAATAATATTAATATAATATATAATATAATTTTTATTAGATATAGCAATTTTTAAATAACTACATACTTATATAAAATATTAATTTGGGCGCTTATGTCATATGTTGGGTAAAACAGGTATACAATATTATTGGCGCTTATGTCCTACAGATCTTGGCGCAAATGATAGTTCATTTTTGTACCTTTGGTGCTTATGTCATACAGCCATTTATTGTCGCCTGTTGTCGTTATTTACCTAATCTTGCTGCTTTTTAAAGGCATTATAATACTATTATGAGAATATCTAGAGTTATGAATATAGATTTTATGGTAAAAGTTATTTATATGTCATTATTTGTGTTTATTGAATCCCATATATTATTTATAATAATATAACCAGTGGCGTGTCATAAATGTGTGCGATGTGTGCAAATGCCACGGATCCTTGGCTAGGGAGGGCATTATTGCTCAAAATTGCAGAAAAAAAATTAAATAAATATAATAATGAAAAAGTAACAAGATTGTTTACATGGTTCTCAATTTAATATCAATGTATAATTGTTATAAATATTGGTGACTAAAATTTTTTTATAAAAATCCGTTTTCAGTGGTTTTTTGTTATTGCCTTGTCGCTTATCAGTCTTTCTCCACATCAATGGCTATATTATTATGTATAAAGTATACATATAATAGAAACCTCTACGAATTTACACGACTAAAATATCACTATGTATTTACTTAGTTTGGTGTATTATTTTATGACCCTCGTAGTTTTGTGTATCATTGTTAAGAGTCAATACAAAATAATACACGACAAACTAAATTAAATATTTTATTTTATAAATTATAATTATAATGGCTATACAATTTACAAGTGGTGCTGCGAAGCGCAAAATAAAAAACAAAGAGAAGGATCTAATAAACGGATAACGAAAATTAATAAATTTTTCAAACAACACCATGAAGAAACAAAAAAAGAGTGAGCTATTGATGGACCAGGTATTTTGTCAAATAAAATGAATACTGTTAGTAATTCCATAATCTGATATTATTATATGCAATACATGTGCATTGGCATGTCCAGAACTTTTGTTGTGGATGGGCCACAAATTTTTTTCTATTTATAAATCATACTTTAATTTTTCATTGATCATCGGACTTACACTAGTCTAGTACTTATATAAAAATGTGGGTGGGCACATGCCTACCGGGCCCACCCTCTAAACACGCCACTGATGTAATGTATTAAAAGTTCTTCAGTTTACAGTAATTTTTTTTATTTCAGCAGAAGAAAAATTTAAAATCAATATATTTTTACTTTTTTTACTATTGCACATGGGCCCATATTTGGGATGAACCGCCACTGAGTATAACCTATACATTTTTATATTTATACAATATTTCACTTGTGTACCTAAAATGAAGTTGATCCTTTATCATTATGAATTTAAAGGATGAATTCCATAGATTAGATGAGTACAAAATTACAAAGTCATTTATTTAATGAAATAATTAACACACAATCTAAGTATTTAAAAAATAGTAAGAATTTTTGTAGTTGTAGCAATGATCAGTAGTTAGACGAAGCTTAGACACTTTTTTAGTGACTTTACATTTTAGTTAGAGTAAAATAAATCTGAAAACTTGTGTTGTTAATGAAAATTACTTGTAATTGTGTCGTTGGCTTATCATACTCCTTTCATAGCTGTTGTTTTTGTTTTATTGAGAAGGTACATAAGTTCAATATTTGTAATTGTTATTTTACATGTTATGTTATATCAATTAAAAATATATTAACTAATATAGTTAGAATTCCTAATAGTATAATATAGTAGAGTACAGTAATTTTATTGGTTTTAAAAATAACATATTTAATTTTGTTATAATGATATATTAATTTGAATATTATTAAAAGTTGTGTAACCGATTTTTTTTAGAAACTATATATTTATACTGTATATTTATAACTTAATAAAATTAATATTTTAATTATTATGACTTCTTTTAATAACTGAAACCCAATCAAAAAAAATTGACTTGATTATACATATTTGTTAAAATAACGCTTTTGTATAGTTTTATTTACTTTTTTATATTATTTTCATACTTCATTATTTATATATACAATCAACATAAATATAAGTAATCTTAACTTAGAGGAGGGGATAATTCCCATGATCTCTATATCTAAATACTAAATACTCAATATCACTATTACTACTCATTTGTCCGACATACGATAAAATTTAAAAAGAGGATGTTGTGGTCATTAAATTCATTCTTGACATTTAATATCAACAGACATTCTATAATAGTTTATAATGGCGAATTTAAGTACTATACTTGTTTTATTTTTGTGTTTATATCTTAGCATAGGTTAGTATATAATAATTAATATCGGTCTTAGAACATATTATAAAAATCATCAGTAATAAATATGTTTGAAATAGTTTACCTTGTTTTGTTAAAAAAATAAAAATATATTTTTAAAAAGTATCTTCAAATCATATTTTGGATTTTTTTAATTAAATCTATCAGATTAAAATTGTTATTTAACTATTTATTTATTTATAAATATACCACAGGGTACAGATTTCACATTTTCAATCATAATAATTATAAAAACTGTAAAATTTAGTTATTAAATTGACTGTTTCAAATCATTCTAGTAATGAAATGTGATTCCCTCAAAAATCAATGTCCATTATTTCGGGTTGAAAACGGTCGAGTAAGACTGATTGGTCGTACAGCAAGAATTATTTGTGATTCGGATTCTAAGCTCGTTCGAGGACGTAATAGAATGACCTGTGTCAGAAATCAATGGAATTATAGTGAACTTCCAGTATGTGCTAGTAAGTACAAATATTTATAAATTACTAAATGAAATTAAAATAATTCTAATTCATAAAGTTTTTATTAAAATAGTGATTTTTATTTCATTATTTAAATTACATTTCTACTGTTTTTTATTAGTACGATTAAACTTTTACCGGATAATTAATTTATACATAAAAAATGTTTGAATGTTACTTTTAGGTAGAATTTAAATAAACATTATCTTATATCTGGACTAATAATTAAATTATTACACTAATATCGTTATTTTTCATTTTAAAATTTTAAAAATAAAACAGCCAGTAGATCTTTAAGTTTGAATGTTGTCAAAAAAAAAGAAAATAATAGATATTATAAACCAATACATTACATGCTTATAAAATACATCGATATTTCTAGGTCATTACAGTTTTATAAATGTATTCTATATTCTAGAAATAGCTATCTTTAAGTGATAATAATCGATTTAAAGTAATGAAAATTCTAAACTTCAAAAAGTGTATTTTTATTGTACTATAATACTTATAACGAATTAACTTAATTTTGTAAAAATGTGAATACCATACCATATTCGAATATAAGTCAGTAAGTTCACAACGAAATCATGAACATACGCTTTAAAATAAAGCTTATACAATGAATTCTAAACATTACACATAACCAAAAACATAGATATACATATTCGAAAAAGGAAATTTTATTTAATTAATCCATGAAAGCATTATTTAATATTCATAATATTTTTTTAATCAGTTAGGTATATTCTATTGAGACGGAAACCCATTATCAGAACGTAGGATCATCATAACTCTTAATAAAATACGTTATTAATACAATTAATAGCTTAAATATTTAAACCTAATAAATTATTGGGCTTTAATATTTTTACTATGAATTTTATTGTGTATAATTATTCGTTTTATATTAATTTATTGTATTATATTGTTTGAACAGTTATACTAAAAATATAATATAGTAATATAATATAAGTAGTGCTCATTAGTATATTATATCTAATGCAAAAAATAGTTAGGAATAATTGATTTATGACTTTTAAAGTTCAGATGAATATATGGATGACCCTAAAGAAAAACCTTTATGTAATAAATTTATTGAAAAGTATTAAAAAGTATTCAACAGGATTACATATTAAGTGAAGTTTTAATGTTAATAAATATTTTGATTTTCATAGTAACTATAAGCTCAGATAGCTCCACTAGATCTGTGTAGGCGTTATATTATCTTACAAACATACGCTAAAAAAAACTAATCTGACGTATATATACAATGTTTTTTTAAAAATATGCATTTATACTATAGATAAATAAATAATATGTGTACAAAATATTTGTATTTATCAAACAGTTATTAAATGGGTGTGCAATGCACTCAGTGCGAGATGATATTATATAATAATCAAATTTAAAATAATAAACATAGGAATGCGCATTTTATAAATTAATACGTAAATTAATTCAATGTTAGTTAAAAGTTAATTTAAAATTTAATCAATGATACTACTGAAACTAAAGGCTGAACACAAAAAAGAATATAACGCTGAACGGATGAACAGTCGAGTGTGGTTCTTCTTTGCTACGCACACCGCTTCACGATCGTAAAGGTTACGTACTGGCATCAGCACACTACGTGACACACTACGCCAATTACGAGCATAGTTTGTGCTTAGTTTGATAAAATATACTTTTTGATTCTACTTATGAAGGTTTATTGGGAATGCTGATAGATTTAAATTTCGGGTAAGTGGCCAATTCATCATCATGCCGAGAGCACCAAGAGCACGCATTGGCAGAAAAACTATGTATAACAGAAGGCAACAAGATAACAACACACCAGAACGTTCTCAAACACTTGCACAGCAGCAACTTAACGCTTTGTGTCTGAAATCAGCGTTCAATTATCGATCAGAGATTGATTATTTAAATATTACAGCGCTTCAAATAGGACCAATGGCTACATTGTGTCCTAAGTGCCATGCAAAAAAATGGAAAGATGAAACCCATGTACTTTGCTGCGTTGACGCTAGAGTTGTTTTACACCAGTTCGAGGATCCTCCATACCTAATTAAAAGTTTAACTGATAATTCTCACCCTATATCAAAACATTTCTTTGATAATTCTAGACGATATAATACTCTGTTTCAAATGACATCTTTTGGAGCAAACGAAATAGCTGAAGGGAACTTCATTCCCACCTTTAAAATTCAGGGTCAAGTGCATCATTTAATAGATAGTTTATTACCCGAAATTGTAAATAATGCTAAAATTTTACAAATATATTTTATGTCACAGTCGGATCAAATATCTACTCCAACTTTATTGATTCCAAATTTAAAAAGAGGTCTCATTGAATCATTACAAACAGTTTTGCGTGAAAATAATCACCTCGTACAGAGCTTCAGATCTAATCTAGAGTCGAGGTCCTTCGATGAGTTACAAAACTTTAAGTTAATTATTCATGCTAACAGAGGTCAATATAATGCACCTACAATCGATGAAGTCCCTGTATTATTTGTTCATGAAAATAAAGGTCCCAGAGTTATAGTTCTGTACGGTCGAGGTGGACACTTGCGTCGAATCTTCGAATTGAATAATCTTATGATACACTGCAATATCCGTTTATGTATACTAGAGGTGAAGACGGATATCACATTAATATTTTACGGCAAAATAAACATATCTATATATCATCGTCCAGTGGCGGCGCGAAATATTTTATTTCATGAGTTATGTTAGGATTTTGAACACCCACCCACCCACCTAAAAAGAAATTTAAGGGTAGCTTGTAAAAAGTGCTCCCCCACTATTCGTTCTACATGCTACATACCCACTCGATACCCAATGGTCAATACTACTATACTAGTACAGATTCTAGTATCAGTGATGCAATAATTGATATGAAAACAGTGGCGGATTAAGGGGCAGGCTAAAAGGCTTATAGCCAAGGGCTTAATAATAGGGCCTAAGGCTAGAATTAAGTGTTATTATTGACTTATTAGGTATATTTATTTTAGTATATTTTTTTTATATTTGTCATATAAACATGAATAAAAATAATTTTAAAAAGTTATAATATATTAAAATATGTACATTGTATGATGCGTACCTATAGGCTATAGTAAGAATGTTACAATTATTATTACAATTTGAAAATATTTCATTTGTAATAAAATAATTACAGTTAATTACTTTTTTAAAGTTATTACCTATTAATGACTTATTAGTACCTATTTACTTATTGGGAACATCCGACTATCCGAGTATAGGTATTTTCATATTTGGCTATTAATATTTCCGTTATGTGACTGTATAAGCATTGTTTATTTGTACTAGTAATAACGGTATCTGAAGTAAAATAATAGACATGAAATATTTTATTTTTAGAAGTTTTCTATTTTAAAGATTTAATATTTTTTTTTAATAAAAAAACTGAAAAAAATGTGAAGAGAAGGGTTTAGACAATATTGTTGGTTCCTTAGTAGAGTGATAGGGGTGATGATAGAGTGATTAAGCCTAGGGACGTCAAAACGCTAAATCCGCCATTGTATGTAAATGGTAACAATAGTGATTAGTTATGATAAATTGTGTAACTTACTCATATTGTAAAAGTTAGTCGTCGAATGTACATTAATTTTAACATCGATTAATAAACTATTATGTATGTATTCTATATAGTGTATTTTATCTGTGATTTTAATAAACAAAAGCAGATTTGTATATTACAATTAGGTACAATTGCACTGATTATTTACAACCGTTTAATTTAAAATAATTAATTTTGTCTTACAGAAATAAAGGAGACCTATCTTGCATGTGATTTTGAATCGTCAGACAATAGATTTTGTGGTTGGCAAAATGATTTTTTAAATGATGTTGATTGGCTTGCTGATAAAGCTCGATCTTTATTATATTTTATTGGACGTCATGTTTCACCTGGTTCTTCACAGTACTTTTCAGGTAAAACTGCAAAATGTTAGTTTCAACAACTATTTATAATTTTTTTCTTAGGCAATTATATATCATTGGATACTAGAACTTATGGGATTGGTGTCACTGGCCGATTATTATCTCCATCAATTCAACCAGTTAATGATAGTCAGATATGTTTAATGTTTTCATATGTAGTAAGATCAAGAAAATCACTATTGGAGGACACCATTGAACGTCCTACTTTATCAGTGACTTTTGGTGGTGTACCTCTCTGGGTAACTTCCGTAGGAGAAGGAAGAGTTATAATTGGACTATTTAAATTAAATATTTCGTCAACAGTAAGTTCTTTAATTTTTTTTCAGTAAATTATAACTCTTTTTTTTCTTAATTTTAGATTGTAATTGAAGGGAAACAATGTGAAGCAGCCATTGATAATTTAGTAGTTACAGAAGGCCAAAGATGTACAGCACAACCGTATGAAGAAGGTTAAATATATAATAGTTGTTTATTTAACGTTAATTTAAATTTGAATTAATAATGCAGATATTAAAACATATATTTTATTATTTACAGAGGATAATTCTTGTCAAGATAACTGTGGAATAAAAAAAACTACTAGAAGTTGTTCATGTGATTGGGAATGTTTTGAAAATGAGAATTGTTGCCTTGATATAGAAAAAACATGTCCATATAGTATGTATTTTATTTTATTTAGCATTATCAATATACAATTCATTTTTATTAATTTACAGTAAAACCACTTGAAGACATCGCTAGATTATATTTTACAGCAAATTCTACTACTACTACTACTACTACTACTACTACTACTACTACTATTATACCTCCTCTTACTACTAATTCCAGTACTATTACTACTTCTACTACTACAATTACTCCTCTTCATCCTAATACTACTACTACTACTACAATTACTCCTCTTTATCCTAATACTACTACTGCTACTACTATTACCATTATTACTCCTACCATGACTCTTATTCCTCCTACTACTATTATGACTCCTCCTATTAATACTACTATTACTAAAACTTCTACTACTTCAACAACAACACAAAAAAAACTTACTCCCATAGAATATGACTTAACTAATTCTAATACAAGCTCTTCTTCAAAAATTATTCATGATTTTACAACTTTAAATAATTCAAATATAGGGACAACTCAACAAAATTTAAACAAAAATACAAGTTATGCAATATCTTTACCACCAAAACTCAAAACCTTTTTCAATATAACATTTACTAAACTTCCACTATCATCAGCAATGACTACCACTATAAAACCAATACCCTCAATAATTTCTTTAAACACATTAGCAACCAAAGTTCCCTTTATCTCAACAAAAATAAGTAATATTTCTAAATCTTCAACGGATACATCTAATGTTGCTTCAATATTAATCAATAAATCAAAAGTGACAACTAAATCTGTAATAGAAAAAAATAATTTTACGGTTGAAACATTTAATGGTCCTACTACATCAATCAAACCATTAACAATAAGTACTATTTCTACCATAAAGTTAATTGATTTAATAAAAATTACCACGAATTCTGTAACACAAAAGACCGTTTCGACTCAGAAATCACCTCTAGTAATTAATGTCACTTCTTCAACAAAATTAATTAATTATTTTACAAGTGTAACAAATATAACAGATAAATCCAATATACCAACCGCTTTTGATCAACCAAGTACCTCATCGAACACTATAATATCATCTAATATACATGACATAAAAAATATTCATGAAATTAATAAAAATAACCCAGATAACTCAACCAAACTTGTACTAAATATTGCTTATACATCCACAGTTGCCCCAAAAACAATTGCTGTTAACAATAGTAAATATCTTTTAAGTTCAAACTCAATTAATCTAAAATATAAAAATATTTTAACGCATAGTACATTGCCTATAAACAGTCATTATCTCCCAATTATTACAACTGAAAATACTAATACAAACTTGAAATTCGATAAAATAATTAAAAAAACAGAATTAAATTATAATCTTTATGACGAACAAAAGAAACATGCAGATGATCGACTAGAAAATCCCGGAAATCAAAGTGGTATGTTTTTATGAAAATAATTTATTACATAATAATATATTTTGATTTTAACATTTATATATAATTTTTTTTTCATAGATGCAGCAGAATATTCGAACAAGCTTAACAATTTATTTACTATTAGTACCTACTTTATTGCAACAGTAGTAATATTAATATCTTTTAAGTACACGCTGTCTTTTATATATTCGTACTATAAAAAATCTACTCAAACAGAAATTAATTCCTATTTTATCAAAAATGAAAATGACAGTTTGTGTCATATGGAACTGATATCAAATTCTGTAGACTGAATTATATTTAGAAGTTTGTCAATTCATATGGTTACGTTATTATTATAATTATATCTTACTTGTATACTATAATTTTTTTCATTTGGGTACTATTTATATTTTAAACCTGTATGTTTGTACTACAATCAGTAAATTTAATATTATTATGACTCATGTTTAGAACCGCAATAAGGCATAAAAAGAATGAATTATGGTATGTTCACCTGGACATAAAAAAATACATTCTTTGTACATTTCAAACGCCATTTTGAGTAATTAATTATTAATAAATTATTAAGTAACTAAATATTTTATTTACTAAAGTAACAGTAGGTAGTTTAAGGTTATTGAAGAGAAATTTTGTACACATATACTAATGTACAAGTAATTTCTAAATGAAGAAAATTTAATTTAGATAAAAAAATCTGAGTAGAATTTAATGTTGTAATTATTAATAAAATGGAAATATGATAAAGACGATGTTTTATGGTCAATGGCTTCTACGAAACTAATTTATTGGTTAAATTATCTTTGTATATAACTACAATAATTTAATGTATAAAAGGTAGATTATTAATATTTTGAATTGGTCGATGAATATTTTTTTTGTTTGCAGCATTGATATCATGTGGTATATTTTTAGTCCAAACAATAAAATAATAAAATATTTCAACAATACTTAACAAGCTGACTCCAAGAAATAGACCCAATGTTCCTCCTACCGAAACTGTATGAAAAATATTAATTAATTTTTATACATTTATTTTTCGTCAACTGATTATTGTGTACTTACCGATGAGGTCCATACGAGATCTTACTACATTTCTTTTAAGCCTTTCATTTGGTAATCTATCTAATGCAATAACCACTTTTGATCCATTTATAACATCCT